TATTTTTATCAATTAAAAGATTATTGAATGTTGTAAAATTCTTTCTTTATTTGAACATTTTTATAAGCTTTTTTACGAACTCTGTTACATTTAGTATTAATATATTTAATGTTACATAAAATAATGAAATTTAATATTAAAGTATAACCTTTTTTGATTATTCAAACTTGTCAAATGACATTTAATTCAAGACTTTTAAGTGCAATCGTGCATTATTAAAATAAATATAAAAAATTTCTATGTTACGAATTAATAATTGCATTGAGATTCAATTTATATTAAAAGATTTAGTTAATATAATTATCTTATCCCCCTCCAACATTTTGATAAATAATGGAATACTTCAAGAATGGAAAAAATTAATAAAAATTTCTTAAATTACAATTCATAAAATTTTTCATCCAACTTTTTTATACAACTTAACCGACGATTAATTCTTAACGAATGAAACAGATCTGGTAATTAATATCGCATCAGAAGGTCGAACGTCCAGCTCCACCGATTCCACCGGTAGTTCGCCGTCCGATCTGAGGAGGCGTCTTGAAGATCTGCCGTCACCGAACGAATTCACTTATCTAGCCGATCGCGTAGCCGCTCTTGGTCGACGAATCTGTCGTAAACGAGAGGTCTTCCTGCGTCTGCACGAAGTGGCGAATCGAATTGAGGAGAACGACGAGTGGGAAGAGAGGGAACAGAGAGCAGAAACTGAGAGCTCCTTGAGAGTGTCCAAACTAAAGGACGCCCGAGCACGAAGAAGGGCGAGAGTTCGTCTGGGAAATTCTCTCCGCTGCGACGACAAAGCAATGGTGATTCCTCAAACTGACGGTTCTACAAATCCTTCTACAGTCATCAATGATGGCAAATTAAATCCCATCGAGTCCTCCGTAGACCGATCGGCGCGAGACGATCGTCTGCGGCTACTCGCGATATCTCGAAGAAAATCTCAACCTTCTTCCTTATCCGAACCGCCCTCCACGCGTTTGTCTGCTCATAGTAACGATGAATCGCGCGACACTAAATGCAAGACACTCTCCCACAGTTATCGAAACTGCACGCCTCGCGAGATTGCGTCAAAGTCGATCGATCGCCGATCCGTTTCATCATTTTCCTTCAGCAACAGCGTTCGGCCGAAGAAATTTGGAGGGTACCGTCCACCTTCCGAGGTAATTCTGAAGAATCTGAGCTCCGGTAGCGAATCGGAATCCGTTCGCGAACTTTCTTCCGTCCAAAAAATTGACAATACTATCACGACTTGGGAATTATCCTCGCCGGAATCCATGGCTGTCAATGAGCCTGTCAAGAAGATGCCGATTATGTCCGCGAGAAGTGACATTACCGGGTCAATATTGCCGAACCTTCTGCCTTCATCGCGGTCGCTCGACAATGACGATTTCGATCGTCGAATTGACCAAAATACTTCACAAAGTTACGCTAGACAAATAAATCGTGATGAAATGAAAACTTGTAACCAACCGAGGAAAATAAATACCCTGGTAGATGTTTTTAATGAGCGAGCAAATCACGATGAATTTGTAGCGAAAACTTCCAGTGATTTTCGGCAAGTCGAGCCGGAATATGAAGACCCGCGTTATCAAAAACAAGAGACACCGCGAGATATATCGATTTTCTTCTCGAAAAATTTTAGGTTAAAATTTGCGAAATTTGTACCGAATGCTTACAATAAACAAGTAACTCATAGTGAACCTACAATGAAAGTTTATGATGAATTTAAACGGATAGGATCGGAATTTGAAAATATACAGAAGAAGGAGAAAGAAGAAGCAGAAGATTATCAACGTATCACATCGAAAACACATGACATTAAAAATCCATTTGAATTTAATTGTCGGCCAGGCCAGTTTAACTTAGACGTACATTCTTTAGAAAACAATGGGGGTGTTCTCGATATGGCAGAATGGCATCGATCGACGAGTCTTTATCCGAAAGAAGCTGTCGATACGTCACATTTTGTTGAAAGAATTCAAAACGATGTTACGGAAGAAGCTTTATCGTCTCAGACTTCGGAACCGTACGGGAGTGGAGATCACAGTCGGTCATCCACGGCAAAAATGGATTTACAGAAGGAAACACTCTCGAGCAGAAGACTTCAGACTGGCATTGACACGCCGGATAAATACGATCAGGAAATTCTAACAAAAGTTCCTACGCTTGCGTTAAATTCGCAGGATATTTCGTACTCAACATCAGCAGGCAGCCGAGAATGTTCCGCTACACAACCTCTCGATCCCCACGCGTTGATCAAAGCTTTATCAGATGTATCTTTAAAACAGGAAAAACAGGCCGACGGTACGTCAAGGAAACACGAGGGTTTTTATCATGATAAGGATACGATCGATGCATCGAATGGAGCCTCGGATTTTCCCACGAAAGGGGAAACGTGGCGCGTACCAAAATCTTCAACGTTAGACTCGCCTAGAAGATTATCGCGTATTCCTTCCAGGATACCCATCAGGGTTCCCAATAACAAGAGTCTATCGGGCAATGACTCGGGATGTTACAAATCAGAGAATTCCAATGAGACTGCCATTTACGCGGAGTCGAAATTTATCGAACAAAACAACGTTCCGTGCGAAAGTATCATTCATCAAATGAATTCGTCGAATTCTGAAATCTGCAAACAGAATTCGTTGAAGTCGAGGAACGAGAGTGTCGAAGTTACGGTCGCTGAAGGCGTATTTGCGCCGGACGACGAGTCGGAATACGAAATCAACGATCGGACACTTAATTTAACTTCCCCGAATCTACGGAGTTCCCAAAGTACATTCTTTGGCGATTACGACAAAGTGCAACATCTATCTGCAGAGAGCAAATTTAAAGAGAGTTGTTCACCTGCGTTCTTTCACAAAGGAGCTCGCTCCAGCCGTCGAGATTACGCGAAGATCGATGACGACGTACGATCGAAATCGGATCGGAGTACATCTCGGAAAAGCGTGGACACTGTGGACATCGCAAGCGTTATCGAATCGCCAGGTCTGTCCAAGGACGAGTTTCGAATCGAGTCGTTGAGAAATGCAGAGGAGAACGTTACTTGGAGAACCGAGGATGAATGCGCATCAATTAATGACGAAGAAAATCTTGAAAACGTAAAAGATTACACACCGCGTGACAAAAAGTCAGAAGGGTTGTACTTGCAGGATAACGAACAATATAAATTGGCAATAGGAAGAATGTGTGAACCATTGTTGTTCCAAAATCAATATATTCAATTAAATTCACCGTCGGAAATCCAGAAAAACGGTAGAAAGCGAAATCATGTTGGTGATAATCTTGAATTTAACGACGACAGGCTGAGCTTCGATCGACATCTAGAAGCATCTAAGAATGAGACATTAAAAAATTTGATGTTTCATGTATGCAGGACGCAGAAACAGTCCAACTTTGCCGCGAAAATATCTTCGCCGACATTGAACTTCAATTGCGAACCTAAGAGAAAAAAGAAGAAGAGCCAGGAACGTTTTCCCTTCACAATTTCGGAGGGAGCGCTGTCAGTTGGACACGAGGATACAAATGATTATCGGTCACCCGATAAAAATCTTGGCTGTACAAAAATGGACGATCATCTGCGAGAAAAGACTAGCTATCAGCTGAAGATGCATCCTAGTTTAACGAGACTGGCGACTTCGGGTGTGGAAGACACCGTGGCGGATATTCTGTGCTGTATTGCAGACGAAAAAAAGGAGAGTACGACTGCTTCGAAGTCTATGATAAAGGCGTTCGTTCGGAAATTTTCCTCGAAGCTGAGAAAAACTCCAAAGCAGCTGAATGACGGCAAAACTCTAGAATCGACGAAGATCATTTATGAAAATAATGCTTGCCAAGAGGATTCCAAAGCGAACAGTTGCTCGGATAATTCGTTAACAAAGGAAGTTTATAAAACGTGCTCCAACGATCGTTTGGCCAATCATTACGCTGCGAAATCTAATCCTATCCTCGTCTCCTCTTGGGAAACTTTGAAGAAGACGGAGAATTTCCAAGCGATTGCTCAAAAATATCCTCACAGACGATTCGATAGGGATGATTTGTGGGTGCAAGACATTAAAGATTCTTCCTTCGACGAGAAAAAAGATAGCGAAATGTTGCAAAAGAAGAACGAAGCAGACAGATCAGGAGAAAGTTCTGCAAAGGATCGCTATTCGATTTTTCTCGCGAAGAACCTCGAGTCTAATGAGCCATCTGCGTCCAATCATAATTCTCCAAAAGAACAACAGGACGCGGTAATTTCCAATCACGTGGCATCAGATAAAAAAAGTAAACAAAGTATCGAACGAAAGGTTTCCCCAAATCTCATCTTCGAGATTGAAGAAGTAGAAGACTTGACCGGTTGCTTCTGTTGGAGGCTATGTCACATATTCGCGCCGCCCAAGTATCGTTCACCAGTAAAGGCGCAAGTTTCAGCTTCGAGAATGAAGAAATCCGATTCTCCGCTGCAGAAAAGAAAGAAATGATTATCCACAATATTTAGAAAATATTTAGAAGTATCGACAACTGATACTTTCGCTCAACTACACTCAACCTGACTCAACCGGTGAGCAAGAAATAAATTGCAACTCGATACTTTCATGGAAGACACCAGACGGTAACCGGATACCAGTTCTTCATTGTCGACTGAGAGAAAGTATCCACAATCGATACTTGGTAGTATTCTTTATTCGTTTGACGCTACATAAAAAAGATCGCTGCATTTTCGCGCAGCGGCACTTTTTATCACTTTTGTACATATAGAATTAGTTGGCATTAAAACGTAACAATTACATTTATCAACAACTTTGTGTAATTAGCGTCTTGTATACAATTTCCTCGGAATAGTTCCGCTAATTGCATGTACGTGGAAGAAAAGAATTTTAGACAGCTCACATCGAAATTACTTTTTAAATAAAAGTACGCAGGAAACGAGAGTATTGAAAATATACTTAGGATGATCACGAGGATTTGATAACCGGAGAGATGTGGCTTCGGTGGCAGCGTAATCGAAGCCCGTCGTCGATTCATGTTCTTTATTTATTCGCCGTTCGTACATATTTCACTTGTTCTCAATAATAATTGTTGCGTGTGTATGTGTGTGTTGTGTTTGTTACACGGGTTACTTCCGTACGTCATATTTATACACGAGTAAGAGTCTTTGCCGTAGATGCGCAATTATCGCAGTTTATCGCCTTAATAAAATGTTTTTTCGCTACGCATTAACTTATTATCATTATTATCGTTATCATTATAGAAAAAATAAGTCTTTAAATAATCACATAAGAGTCGTCGAGAGCCTTTCGTGAAGGGACACGGGAAAGGAACGCGGGAGGGGGGGAGGGAGAGGAAAGGGGAGGTACATGGGTATGCATACATTCATGCATAAACGCGTACGTGTATAAAGTATACAGCATATGCCACGTATGTGTGCGCGTAAAAGTATACATACATATAGTATACGTATACATACGTATAGTACATACATGGATGCATGCACGACGAAGGGACGGAGAAGATGCGGATTGTTGGAACGGGAGGAGAGGAAGGGAGGGGGGAGAGGGTGTAGAAGGGATAAGGCTGTCGCTTGAGAAGTAACGCTGTTGGCCCTATACGGTACTTGCTTATCGGCCCTGTTCGCGTCGTCAGAACGGCGGGAGCCGCGTGCGCTAAGCCTAGAAAAAGAGCTATCTACCGAGAAGACCAGTCATTTTCGCGTCCTTTTTTTTTTCCTTAACCTTTTTCTTTTTTAGGACTACACACGAGAAACGCGACAATTACACGTTATTCCGCTATCGAGGAGGGACTTTTTAATCGATTCGATCATTAGGATGGGGGACAAGGGGGGGGCGGGAAAGGGAAAGGGGTACAAGGTAAGGGGGTGGGCGGTCGACGGCCGCCGTGTTAAGAGCGTAAAGAAAATCGACGCTAAAGGCAATGCGTTTCCGCGATCCACCTCGAGCGCTCTCTCTCTCTCTCATCTATCTCTCTTTCTCTCTATCTATTTAGCTTCCTTTCTCCCTCTTCCCGTCGTCGCCGAGAAAGGAAGAGAAGCTTCGTCCGCCGGCACATGCCTCGCATACAATCGCGCACCTCCACGCGACCGCATGCGTTCTACATGCATTGGCACGATACGCATGCGTGCTCGATGTCAATCATACATTGCGATGCTCTCTCTCTCTCTCTCTCTCTCTCTCTCTCTCTCTCTCTCTCTCTAGCCTCACCACGCGAGTTACTACATCGGAGAGGTAGCTATGAGCCC